ATAATGTAGTTAAAATTATACAATGAAACATACCCATATCCAGGAAGTACTCACCAGAGTGCTGCTGGTTACTTGCCACCCTAGGACTAAGAACTTAATTTGCACCTCTCCATATATGATATCGGTCCGGCCTTAATTAGTGTCACTAAACATTTCCCACAATTTCCAGATATTTTACTGGACCTCTCATAACAATTCGCTGAAAAAGCGGAAGAGGCATTTCTGATGGATGTAGTTGCCGAACACAGTTAAACATACCAAATACATAGAGCGAGTTACACTGACGAGAAGGCAGTACATTACTCAGACTGCTTACTTTTAAGGACATGGGTTTCAAAGGTAAGTTTCTATACAGTTTCAAGTTTCGTGAGATCTACTTCAGTCTGTAACACCACGAAACGGGCAGTGTTCTGCAATTTTCAGAGATGAAAACTAATCTTCAGGTAAGACAGACACATATTCAGGGTGTATTCTCTTTTGACAAACGTTTTAAATGTTCTTAAAACAGAGAAAGGAAGCGTAAAATCACCAGTGGGAAATGAATATTAATCGTGATGTAACATGATGCACCTGTATTAAGTCTTGGATGAAACATGTCTGACCGACTTGTTCCCTGAAGAGAAGTGGAAAAATCAGGACATTTTTTAAGTAAGATCGTTATCAGTCGCTAGTACCAACATGAATGCCAGGAGTATACCATAATAATTTACGCCATCTAGGAATTCCATTCCCATGTAACCCCATGGTGTGACACTTCCTCTGCTCCCCGTAGGATTCTGGGATCGGAAAACCCATTTGCTGTAACGCCTGTAACACAATTCGTTGGCACTTTTACAAACTCTCCTTTTTACTATCAATACCGTAAATATGTTTTGCGCGTTTGCTGATTGCAGAAAACTATAAATGATGGCTGAGTTAATTTCTCATCTACTTTATAAATACTGTGAAAAATCTGTCAGGAAAATTTTAATCCTGTGGCCTATAGGACCTGTCGCGCAGGGCTCTTCTTGTAAAGATCGAATGTTTATTTCACTCGATATCGTTGGGGGGGGGGGGGCACTTGGGTATTTTTTGGGTGGGTATGTGCCGCCCGGGACTCCAAATTGGCACCCCGTTCTAACAAAAAATTCCCCTAAAATTGTTCTAGAAATGGGCCAAGTTTTTATACTCCGTTTTAGGGTGCAACACGAGTATAACAGTTTGCTTATTAACGCATCAAACCGTATTTTTAAAAGCAACGAAAAGCAAAAAAGCAATCTGCCCTCGAATAATTTCAAATGGCTGCTTACAAAACTGGAGCTTTCGTGCGTTCGAAATATTATACCCTGTTCTAGAAAACGCCTCTGTTCTAAACCAGGAGCTTCAAAATCACGACTCCGTTGGGAGGCACATACCCGTATAGGTATTGTATGGGACTACCCCCTCCCCTCGTCGAGGAGCATTGAAATATAAGGGCCTCAGTAATGTTCTATCCAGATAATGAAGTTTTGTCTTTTTTCGCTCTAATACCGCCATTGCTGATTAGTATTGGCCTCGGTACTGCAAATAAAGACCTGGGAGGCAACACTGGATGATGCGAGAAAAACACGATCATTATCAGAGCGGTAAATGATCCACTAATCATATCTTGGCGGTGCGATGAGATTGGACAGACGGCTAATGGCGTAAATTCGTTAGTTTAAACTTAAATGCAGGAGTTGGATGGATTTTTGGTGAGAACTTCAGCATTCCGCAATCGAAATTCATCATGGCCTGGCGTATTTTGTTTCCATGTGCGCTCTAAAGGGTCGCCATGCCCGTAACTGACATGATCGTTTTAATATGCAGGTATCCTAGTTTAAAAAAAAAAAAAATTACACACTTCCGAAATATTTCATGAACAGACACTCGGGATTTAATAAACGGAGACTGCAAGGGATAAAGCAATACGAATAAAAGACACCACTTCACTTTAGCTTCTGGGCTTCAAAAGCTCCAGCCGGCCGGCCAATAATTGCACGTTCACGCCAGCTAAAACAAAATTTGAGCCCGAATCGAAAAATTAAGTCAATCTATATAGTTATAATGCAGATGATTTTTGTCAAAACGCACGTCAATTTTCAATTCTGTGTGATTTCTGGTATTCGAGTTTTTACTGTCACATTTAAAGCTCAGTTTGATGTGACCCTCGAAGGAAGCTTTCCGCCGAAGAATAGGCTCTTTGCATGACTTGATCACGTGATCAACTTTCGGTAAACACGAAAACAGTTCATTTTTGAAATATTTTGTTAGCACAGGCTGAAAGAGCATATTAAAATCAGGTAACCTAAGAATTTTCAGCCGTATATCTCAAAAGCAGGGATTGCAACGGCAGCCGAAAGTTGGAAGCATCTGTACTCTATGAGAAACAACTTTTGCCATCCAGTCATGCTTGCATGGTTTTCCATATAAATCCTTGTAATTTCGAAATTTTCAAAACTGTCATGAAATATTTCCTTAAGCATTACACGGCTCAAATATCCTTTTAATTCATAAAGGCAATTTGCGCCCTTAAATGCGTAAAGGAAAGATTTAACGACAGATTAAAAATTTTAGAATTTACAAGGATTTGTATAGAAAGCCATGCAAGCGTGACTGGGTAGCAAAAGTTGTTTTTCTCATACAAATGCTTCTGACCTTCGGCGGCCGTTGCAATCGCTACTTTTGAGATATACGGCTGAATATTCTCAGGTCACTTAATTTTAATATGCTCTTTCAGCTTGTCTTAACAAAAGTTTTCAAAAGTGAACTGTTTTCGAGTTTATCGAAAGTTGGTCACGTGATCAAGTCATCCAAAGAGCCTATTACTCTGGTGACCTCAGATGACTCAGATGTCTCAGCCATGTTGACACTACAGAGGATAGCTTTCCGTGCCGACACAAAACGCTATCCGTATTATGCGCACCTATCCGATGCGAAAATGATGATGCGGAATGTCCACTTTGGAAATCGGCGTGGAAATCGCTGCGTTACAGAAATCGCCCTGAAATCCCTGTTCTTAGGGACCGATCGTTTATTACGTTCCCGGGAGGCGGGGGGGATATTTTGAAAATGCACAAAATGTGAGGGGGGTCGAAATATTAAGACACAGGGCTGACCTTCTATGTAAAAGTTATCAAACTGTGTTGGCCCTTTTTAAATAAATCATGCGCTCATATGCACGTGAATAGGAAGAAATTTTGAATGGAACAGTTCTCTAGTGTATTATCACATGACCTACTTTGTAAAAGAATACCACAAGTTTCCAACACCAACATTCCACACAATCAAGGAATTGATGCATGCCGTCATTTTCTTGATATCCGCCCTAACAAACACATCCCCACAGAGACACTATGTGATCTCTTGCGCATGATTCTAATTTCACATTCAACCAACAGCATTATCTTCAAATCCGTGGTACTGCTGTGGGTACTAAAATGGCTCCTTCTTTTTGCTAACCTTTTTTTTGGTATGCTCGAAACCAACGCTCTCACTAACGCCCCTTGGCAGCCTCACACATGGTGGAGATATATCGATGATATTTTCATGATCTGGACAGAAGGTTCGGATCGTTTGAAAATATTCGTCGATTATCTCAATAACATTCATCCCACTATTAAGTTCCTTAGCTCTCACTCACGTACTAACGTTCCTTTTCTCGACGTCATGGTGTCTCTACATAACGGTATAATTGAAACTGATCTATTTACTAAACCCACGGATAAACATCAGCGCCTTCTCAGCTCATCATGCCATCCTCACCACACTAAGAGAGCCATTCCGTTCAGCTTAGCCCTCCGCCTCCGCCGTATCTGCTCTACAGAGGCTAAGTCTAAACATCGCATTAATGAACTTAAAACATATTTCCTTGCTCGTGGTTATAATTATTATTTCCTAGAGGAACAGTTCCTACGCGCTGCTAATATTTCTCGTACTAACGCGTTACAGACTAAAAAAACCTAAAGCTTCTAACGATGTTGTACCATTTTTTGTCACATATAACCCAGCATGCACTTCCACCCATTTCTAATATCCTACGCAAACATTTTAACATCTTACACTCTTCTAACCGTTGCAAAGACGTCTTTAAGCAACCGCCTTACAGACGTAGCCGTAATCCTCGTGACATTTTAGTTACAGCACAATTACCCGTTATGTCCAACAATCATTTTCCGCCAGGCTCCTTCCGCTGTGGACAAAATTGTGCCACTTGCATGTCCATATATTACTAACGGCCTCACACGTTATACCTTTTACGCTACAGGTGAAACACGCTCAGTCACTTCACATATTACTTGTAACACTAAAAACGTGATCTACATGGTTCAATGCAACTGTTGTAATTTACAATATATAGGTGAAACTAAGCGACGTCTCAAGGACAGATTTAACAAACACAGACGTGCAGTCGACAAAAATAACTTTAAATCTAAACCCATTACTGTGGTGGCCCATTATTATCATAGAAAAACTAACTGGAAATGCCTGTTTTATTTAAGAAAATTGAAAACATATTTAAAAAAAGATCAAAATAAATAAATAAATATACACAAATATAAAAAATACAAAAACAAATTAATTAAAATAAAAATTGAAAGATGGAAATTAAAGATTAAATTTGAATTAAAAAACATAAAGAAACAAAATGAAAATGTCAATAAATTTCAACCAAAAAAAAAATAAAAGAAAATTTAAATTAAAAAAAATAATAAATAAATAATAATAATAATAATAATAATAATAATAATAATAATAATAATAATAAATGAAATCGAAAACAATGGTAAAAAAAAAAAACAACATATTAAAATCCCTTAGTAGGAAACGCAAATTGATCTTTATTTTGCTATGATAACGCTGGGCCGAACTGAAATCAAAATAAATTTCTTTTCTCAAAATGAAATGTCCTAAAGTGACCCATCGTTATCATAGCCTGCGACACGTAAGGTCAGTGGAGAACCCCTCGTTACCAGGGCCTCTATCTTTCTTCTCTCAAAATTATGGCGGTTCGCATTCGTTGCTCAGACTGGGAGAAGGACCAGCAACTAAAGAGCGATCTTGAACGCTATGTGTTAGCAAATTATTCGAGACAAGAGATACTAGATTTTGCTAGTCGCGACTACCCTGAATATGCATGGAGTCTACCCACACTCAGTAGGAGATTGAATTTTTTCGGCATCAAATACATTCGTTATGAAACGAGTGTAGAAGATGTCAAAAAGGCTATACAGGAGGAAATGGAAGGCCCAGGGCAGTACCTTGGATATCGAGCTATGCAGAGAAAAGTTCGAGAGCAGCATAAATTGGCTGTTCCTCGTAATCTCGTCTATGATGTTATGAGTATGGTAGACCCCGAAGGAATGACGAGGCGAGGGAATGTTGCTCAAAAGAAACGGCAAAGGGGGGCGACAGGAACGTTTACATCACTGGTAAGATTTTAGGAATTTGTAGGTTTTAATAAACAATGAATTTATTGGCACATGATATGTCTTCTTTTTGTTCCTTGTTATTGTATTGATCAGTAGCACTCATTCCCAGTCATCCTTCATCTTTCAAAGTAACCAGTCCCCATACTTCTCCACATTATCCCCTCGGTGGTCTATAGAAGAAGTTGAGGTGCTGTCCATTTCATTTTATTAACTGTTGTAGTGCTTTGTAATGTGTGTATAGCAAAAAAGTCTTTAGATAGATTTTTGTCTCAAAGTATATTCCTGTTTGCTGTCTTAAATACAGGGACCTAGCCACACCCATTCAGGGGATGGTCATGACAAGCTCAAGGGCTTCATGAATAGCACGTTTCCTTTAGCTGTTTACTGGTTTCAAGATGCCTTTAGTGGATACATTTTCTATTTGAAATTATGGACCACAAATTCTGACCCCAAGCTGATTGGGCGTTGGTATATGGACCATTTGTATAGCACGAAAGGTAATTTGTCCTGTTTCAATAATATATGCATTCAGATTGTGATACAGTTAAAAAGGGCTCTCATAAGCACCCATCTCGGGAATTAACAAAAGCATTCGAAGTTTGAGTTGGTTGTTCATAGAGATGACGGCTTTTATTGGTGCTCGGAATAAAAAATGGACTTATTGAGGGCTGCTGCTTTTGGCTAAAACATTGTCATAAGTACTAGTAATTTCCAATACTTTCTGGTGAAAATTTGGATTTTTTTTCCTTTTTGCTCTCAGTATTAACAAAATTTGACCCCAAATTTGATTAAAGAGAAAACCCTTTATTCAATTGTTGACTGAGTACTCAGTAGGGGCTCATTGGGGCTCATAAGAACTTGAACACAAAGGAAAAGACCAGCAGGTACATGCAAGTCACAGAAAATTTCACTTTTAACAAATTCGCCCCTGAACCGCCCGTAACCGCCCATGCGGATCCAGGTCCTTTCTACCCTTTGTGACGTCATCAGTTTTAACGGTCAAGGACAACTTTCTTCGCTAACTTGTGCAGAGTCAAGAGATCTTTCACACCATACCAGAATGAGCACAATTCAGTCAAGGACACCGGAGAAAGAAGCAAAAAACCACGTGACAAGGACCTGAAAATCTCCATGAAAATCTTGTTCCATTACCCACCTACCTTTCCTTTCACCTAATCCTAAGATCCTAAAACCTTTCCCAAAAACTCTTCCCACCAAAATGAAGCCTACTAAATGCCCAGCAAGAGAAAAAAAAATGAGGCAAGAAAAGCGAAAAAAGAAGGGAGGAGAGAAAGCGAAAAGTAAAAGTCAAGACTGCTGTGTCACTTTTAAACCCAAAAACTGCGAAATTTTGCTTTCTGCGCATGCCCGAACTTCGCAAGCTCATATTTTGCATCTGGATCAGAAGGCCGCCAAGTGTACGACCTGTAAACCGGTTTGTGGTAAGTTTTAGCTCTTTATAGCACGACAGTGACCAGAAAACCACTCGACTAGCTTCAAAACGCGTTTTTCGGCAAAATCTCCAGGAGCGAATGGGTTAATCAAAACTATCCAGCCAGACATGTCAAAGTATGTCATAGTACGCATGAAGAGGGTGATTTTTCAGTAAAACTCTTAGAAAAAGCTTATTGCTTTGTCAAAATGGCTGGTCCGGCCGGCCAGTTCTGACTTTTGCAAAGTGCAGTTACTGTAGTTGGTCCCTCACAAGGGGGATTGTAGAGAGAGCTTTGTTTATAATTCAATAGCCTATGAGTTAGGACTACAGAGGGTTTTGCTCTATGAAGTCAATCAAGATCCTCAAGGCTTAATTTTTTTTTCGGTTTGCATTCAAGTGATCAGTAAATATCTCAGGCTGGACAAAGGAACTGAAACTGGGCACATGGCAGCCATTCATACATTTTTGAGACAGGACCAGGACAATGAGCCAGAAACAACAGTGTTTTATGGACCATCAACAAACAACAAGGTAAAAACAGAACAGTATTTTACCATCTTTCCAGAATCAATATAATCAAAAAAAATAAAAATTACTGGTTTGATGCCCATGTAGGCTTTTCTTAATTATCATGTTAATAGTTTTAGATAAGAAAACTAGATGCATGCTGTAACATTTGAATCTTCTCCATTAGTTTACAACCAGTGCAGTCTGCGTATGAATAGCAAAATGCCTTATACTACAGGGTGCAAAGAAATTCACTTGTACAAAGCTGTAGCTAGGCAGCAACAATTTTCCAGTGAATTAAGCCTGGCAGTCAACCTGGCTTAAAATACCTAGGAAGAACCATTAGATAGTTATTATTAATTAATTACTTGCTTTATCAATGCATTGTAGTAAGCTATAATGAGAGCCTCTGGACTCAGACTTACTACCAAGGTATTTCTAAGATTGGTTTTACCTGAAGATTGTGCATGCAGAAGATACAACATCTAGTCTGTAATGTAACACTGTTCTTGCAGATTTCACTTTGTGAGATGAGCTTGAGAAAATCCAGTTCACGTGGAATTATTAGGAATTTTCAATTAGTTGTCTTTAAGTTCTAAAGTAATGTAATGCGAATTCTCAGGAAAAACTTCGCTTGAGAACAGAATTCACTAGCCCAATCACAAAATCCACTAACTCCAGGCTATCAGAAAAGACTTCCATTGCACGCTGTGTTGATCTTGGGATTTCTGTATAAACCATAATAGAGTTGATCCATTTTTCACAGATTGAAAGATGGTGGGGAGATCTCCACAACCGCTTTGAGAGGTTTTTTAAGAGGCAGCTGACTATACTGCTTGAACAAGGCCACTATGATCCAAGTAATCAAACAGATAGGTATTACATGTAATACATTAAATTTAAAATGTATTCTTAACATTGTTTAACAGTTTTTTTTTATTCGTTAATAGAACAGCTTGTATTTCTATTTTTTTGTTATTTTATAAACTGTTGACCTGACATATTTACCTGTGACATGTCTATACCATGGATCTATGTGTATGTTCTTATTTTGTGTTTGCATTTTTAACAGGCACCTATTGGCATTCATTTTTATTCCTTTCATCCAAAAAGAAATGAATATCTTTAGGGAAACTGTGTGGAATTCACACAGAGTGAGAAGCCAAAAGGGTGCTGCAGTTCCAAAAGGGATACCGAATCATCTCTATTCATTTCCTGGGCAATATAATGCAGATGAGTGTGGTATGGCTTGATATTATTACATATGCATATTTCCTTCTTTTTTTCAAGTGCTAATTTGTGAAGATTGCTCTCCAAGTTGTTTGCAAAAAGATTAAGGGCTGGTTACTTAAACAGAATTTCAATGGTGTTTAACAAAACCACATTCTACAGGCCATTTAAATTCGGCTATCCCTCACATTTAGAGCATCGAGAGGGCTTACAACCCAGACTAGAAATCCATTTATGTACTTAACCTGAGTACCTTAAACCAGGATATAAGTTAGACCTTCTTTAAATAACCAGCTCTAATAGTTTTAACCATCAATATTGCATTTCAAAATAGAGAGGGACTCAATACGTACATGAAGGTCTTGAGACATCAGCAAGTTTATTGGTTTGTACAGGTTTCTTATTTTGTATACCATAGGTTTGCAAGTCACTCAAGAAGCTCTGGATGAGGTTGCTACATTATCGGGTGTCATGTCAGTTGGAGATGATTACTTGCCAAGTAGTGTGAGAGAGGAATGTGAACGAATTGTTCCAAACATAGATGGGGTAAAGCCAGCTGAGGCAGCAGATGCATATCTCTTCTTAAAGGCACAGTACAGAGAGCCAACATCATGATCATCACAATCATAAATCATTATTGCAGCTTTTTTACTGTTTAAATTTCAAAAAAGTCCAAAATACAGCATTCTCTATCTCATTTTATAACTTCTTAGAAAAGGGTTATTTCTGTCAGTATACCCATATTAAACAATAACCTGTAAATTTTGCAT